TGAACACTGGGACACATTACACCAAACAACAGAAGGCACTGGAACTGGGCACATCATGAGCATTCCAGTTGCTGAGAAGTGGCTTGGTCCCTCCGAGGCACAACCTGCCTGCGAAATGGGGCCAGGGAATCCCCCACACTGCCCCAAGAACAGGCAGTGTTTGATTTGAGCTCAGAATCAACGTTTTCCTTTAAGCAAGGGCAAGGTTAAAAAGGCAACTATAAAAGGAGAAATGAATTAAGTTTAAAGGAACAAACAGGTAAGGGCCAGGATTGTGATACAGCTTTGCCATGAGTTACCTGTGCTTAGGCGACAAAAGCACCTTACACCTGCAAAGACAAAGCTGAACTTTCATACCTGAAACTGAGCAAAATGCAAGCTGGTGACTCACAGACAGACAACAGAGGCTGCTACAAAGGACTTTTAGTGGCAGTGATCAGGTATGCAAGCTAGTAAATAGTGAAACTCACAACAGGGTGGGCAGAAGCTGGAACTGATTTGGCCCCAGCTGAGACCAGGCATCACAGCAGAGCGGATGCAACTACAACTTCCAGCTGTTGAGGCTATTACTAGTGCCACACATAAGAAGATATGACTATAACAGCATTTAACTTGGCAGAATCCATTAACAGAAAACCCAATATACATACTTATATATGCTTATGTGTGTGCATGTATAATATAATGCATGATGCTAGGGGTCCACAGATCATCTAGGGAAGCATCTAAAGGGACTGAGATAAACGTACCACTGTATGTGCCACCACTGAGGAAACACACAGCAACTCTTCAAGACAATCTTCAGTTGTAATACTTCCATGGAGAGGAAAAAACGTGTAATAAAAACCTCACAAAGACATACTCATTTCACTGAAATAAACTGTGCGAATTTCCATGATTTAAGTTGTTCACTGATACAGAATCAAAAGCTTTAAACAAATTCTGTGAAGATTATTCTTGTCCTCTCAAAGTCCTTCAAACACTTCACACTATCTGGCTTTCAAATCAAATACACAGCAACCCAAAATTTATTTTGCATGGAGAGCGATACACTACTAAGCAGTCATGACCACAGTGTTCCTATTGTAAGGCCACCCAAAAGCACCAGTTACATGCCTCTTTTGTCCTCAGGATTTCAGGCTTACATCCATTCATCCTTCTGCAGCTAGGTATCACCTATTCTTATTCCTCCAGCAATGGCAACAAATAAATCTAGGTGATTGAGTTTTCTTCGGACTAGAAGTCGAGGAGGTATAGATACATGTGACCTTAACACCTGCCATTGTGAAGAATAAACAACAGAGCCACCTTCAGACGAATGACACCAAAACTCTGCGTTTTCTACTCAAGAAAAATTACACATTTTTATTCTAACCCATTTTCAAAAGCAGGCTAAAAGGATGAGACCATTCAAGAAAGGTTAACTGTGATAGCTCCATTACAATCCATCTCAACTATCTTGCCATAAAGCAAAGACAACATTAAACATGCACATCACAGATGTTTTAAATTTTATGATATATAGATATATATATCATATATATAGATAATGATTAGCCAAAAAGCTATCAGATTCACCTACAGCTGCGGTGAAGTTCTTGGGGGACTACGCTGTCTAAACCCCTGTGACTCCCACTAGCACATGTAAGGGAAAAAGTTGCTTTCACTTGATGACTACTAGGAGAAAAGTGCCATTCTTCCATGCAACTTTCACACCAATTTCTTTGTTATCTCATAAACAGATCTTGTTCTTGCTTTAGCTTTGTCTGAGCAACACCAGTCGCTATCGGCACTCATTCACAACCAACAATAGCGCAGATCTGGCAGAGCACACCTCAGTGTCTCATTCAAGGTAGCCACTGCTCAGGGGTCATGCGGTCTTTGCTTCCCTAGGGCTCAATGGGGGTTTTGTTCATAGAGTTTGTGCTAAGAAAGGCTGGAATAGACTACTTTGTATAACTGAGAACAATTTTACCTACTTTAATAAGCTACTACTGATAATTTTATGTTACTACCTTTGGCTTCTATCCTTATTTTAAAAGCTATTTTTATTCAAATGTTATTATTTGGAAGAACCTAGATGCTATTTTGAGCTCCTAACAGATAATGTTGACATTGCTGAATATTATTCAGTGGAAAGTTAAAAAGCAGCTCAGCATCAGATACTAAATCAGGGCAGTGCATAACTCACAAGCATTACAGCAGTTAGCCCTCAACATCTGGGTGAGAAACACAGCCTTGCCATTATACAGAAAGCCCACATTCTTTTCCATTTCTTGGGTATTTCTTAGATTTTGCATATAATTTGAAAGGTGCCTCGTTACACTTACAAATATGTGAACGCCAACAGAGTGAAGTGTGTCAGAGATCCATTTAAGGGGAAAAGAAGACTAAAACCACCCTCTTTCTCAGACTGCAAAACATCCGTGCGCAAGGCACTCCCGGCCCCAAGTCAGTGCCAGGCTCTAACGCGAACCCGCGCTCCCTCTGTCAGCAGGAAAGTCGAACGCTGATCCGTGTGCATCGCCGGAGCCACGCTCCTCCTCTGCCGGGCCCTCGAATACTCAGGCTTCGCTCCCAGCCCTTTGCCCGCACCTACAGCTACCAGAGCACGAGCAAATCAACAGCTCCCAGACTCAAGAATACAAATAATCCCTATTCAAGCCGAGCTGGATGGATAAATGGTAATGAACCAGGTGCATGGGGTGCGTGTCTCAACCAGACCAGCTATAGCATTGACACCCAGTGGTCACAAGTAACTGAACTTGAAAAAGCGTGTTTGAGAAACCTTGCACTTACCTCCATGAAGTGGGAGAAGCTGCAAGTGTGTAACTTTCTGAGCAGCCTGGCACTGACACAACCAAAGGAAGGGCTTAGGGCAACATGTGTCCAAGGCAAAACCCAGGGACTATTTAATTTGGGTAGGCGAGTTCACACGTACTTATCGGCCAGCAGTGACTGGCAGGGTACGTCCTGCACCCTACCAGAGGGTAGCCCAGCCAAAAAACATGCCAGTAACGGCTCTCCCTGTCACAGCAGAGGCATGTGGGCATAGGAAGAGCTCAATCTGTCAGAGGGAGTCGTGGAAAACTTGCTAAAGCACCACAGGAAAATCAGCAATAAAATAGGAAGTGCCTTGTAAGTTACACAAGTAGTGGAGTTTGCTCACTTGAATTTGGGATTTCTTTGCTTTATTTTAGTTGGTTTGGTTTTTAGCTCTCTTCTACTCATTCTGAAAAGGCACTTGATGCATCTGGCTTTTCTCAAGGAGACTGAAATAACCACGGGGAAAAAAAACAAACCCAGCCCTTCCAAGTGACAAGTTACCTTATTTAAAAGTTGCCAGCTATCAATCATTTCACTCTTGTTAAGGGTTTTCATGAAAGATGTCTATAGACAATTGGCCTTTCCATTTTTTTAGTCAAACACATTAACAGAAGCTAACAAATTACTCTAAAAAAGCTTAAAAGCCTCCAGTTAAAAATTTGTTTCGGATTAATCTCCATTTCCTTAGCAGGATGCTGCTTACCTCTAAAAAATTGAATTTACAAAAAAATGATGTGACAAACATTCCTAGCTCTGCAATTAAAAATACACAAATACAGGGTTTGAGTTGACACTTTGTTTTGGAAAAGGTATGTAATACAGATCCTCAGAAGGAAAGCAAAGAGTTTGGCTGGCGCTAACTGAAACTAAGTCAGGAACACACCAGAATGCTCTGATGCCATGCGTGCAGCTCACACATTTATTGCCATAATTTAATCCCTCGAAGGGTGAAGGAGTCTCTGTCTTTACACAGAGGGCTGAAGCTCATTCTGACAATGCTTCCATACAACAGTGCTGCAGAACTACGCGCCTGCCTCCGCTGTGAGCAGGGGCACAGGTGAGCGATGCATTCTTAGCATAGGCCTCCGAGGAGCACGGTTTGCTCGCAGCAGCATCAATGCTTCATCACGCACAGGGATGCAGAGCTGGAGGGTACCACGGGCCTTGCAATGCCACACCACCACGGTGGGCAAAGGCCAGTGTGGCCTCACAGACCCACGCGAAGCAACATCATGTGCCCAGGACAGTGGCCAGCCAGCAGCTCCCCAGGACCTGGGGGTGAAGCAGCGTTCAGCAGCCTGCCTCACAGCCTGGCTCTGAGCAGCCCCAGCCCCTCGGACCCAGCCTGTGCAGGTCTGAGCACAAATCCCTACAGCCAACAGGTTACTACTGCTGCCAGCCTGCTACGGTTACAGATTGCGCTGTAGGAGGAAACTGTCCCACTATTTAATGGGAGGAAGACGCTCCCGCAACCAAGGTTTAACAAAGCCATCAAGACAAATACAGCGGCTTACTCATTAAACACGCGGTATTTTTCCAACCCTTGTCCTGCCTCCGGTCTTTCCCCATCCCTGTTTGCTTCTGCCCCATCTCCGCCACCTAAGGGCAAACCCCGCTGCTGGCAAGGCCGCCCCTCACCCCCCCATCGGGGCCGGCCAGCCCCAGGGGGACGCGACGGTGCCCCCACGGAGCCCACGGCCACCCCTCGACAAGGGTGTTTAACCCCGACCCCGGCGGCCGCCCTGGGGGAGCGGGAGGCGGCGGTGCTCCCGACGGGCTTGCCCGGGGATGGCGCCGTGACACGGCGTGAACTTTTGCTTTCGGCGGGGCAGGGCGGCGGGGGGGGAAGGGGGATAGGCGGAGAGCGGGGGGTGCGGCCCCGGCCCCTCCTGTGCCCCACCGGGGGGAGGGCAACAACGCTTTTTTTCTTATCCTCTTCGGCTTCGTCGCTGCGGACGGGTGAAGAAAGTCGTACTTTAAGGAAAGAAAGCAGCAGCACGGAGCTGGAGCGCTGCAAAGTGCGCGGCGGGCAGCGCGCTCGGCAGTTCGCAGCGCCGCGACTCCCTCTGCCCGGGTGGCACCGTGTGCAGCGCAAAGCACGGCACCCGCACCGCCGCGGAGGAGCCTCCCGGGAGCCCCCTCGGGTGCGGTGTCCCCTACCACCCTCCCCTCACCTTCCAGCCGGCAGAGCTGTTGCTGTCGCCCTTATCCTTGAAGTAAGGGACACTCTTGACCATCCACTCGTAGATCTGGGAGAGGGTGAGCCGCTTCTCGGGGGAGCTCTCGATGGCCTTGGTGATGAGGTCCGCGTAGGACAGGTTGCCCCAGGCGTTGCGGCGCGACGAGCTGCTCTTGCGGGGCTGCCCGGCCACGGGGCCCGACGACAGACCTGCTACGGATGGCGGCACCGGCGGCACCGGCGGCGGTCCCGGCGGGTGAAGGCGGCAGCCGGCCTCGGGCGCTGGGAAGTCCCCGCAGCGGCAGGCGGCCGCCTCCGGGGGGGCGGCGGCCGGGGGCAGCGGTGCGAAGTCCTCGTTCTCCTCTAGCAAGCTGAGGTTGCTGATGAAGTCGGCGCCGAGCGCTCCCGAGGCGGCGGCACCAGCCGCGGCCCCGGCCGCCCCATCGGGCTGCCCGCCGCACGACGGCGCCGGGCTGGAGGTGGCCGAGCTGGGCGGGTTGAACTCCGGCCGCGGCAGGGGCCAGGTGCAGGAGCGTGGCCGCGGCAGCGGCTCGAAGTCGGGGTCGATGTCCACCAGCTGCGGTGCCTCGGCCATGGCGGGGCCGGGGCAGGAGCGCGACGGCGGCGGCAGTGGGGCGGCAGGGCTCAGAGCCGCCGCCCCATGCAGGCTCCGGGCGCGGACCGGCGCGGCCCCGACAGCGCGGTCTCCAACTCCCCTCGCGGCTCCGGCCCCGCCGCCCTGCCCCTGTCCGGCTCCCGGTTCCCTGCCCTCCTTGGCGGTAGCAGCAACGGCAGCAACGACCCGTCCGCCCGGCGCGCACCGACTGGAGCGACCGCCCTGAGCGGCCCCGCCTCCAGCCTTCCTCCTCCTCCTCCTCCCGGCGGGGTGGGACGGCCCGCGCAGCTCCAATGGCAGCGCCGCGCCGCCCGCCCGCCTCCCGCCGCGGGGCCGGTTTGGCAGGAGGGTGCCGATGCCCCCGTGCTGTTTCTGGGTGGTTTCTGCTGTTCGGCGGCGGAGAGGTTGAGAAGCTGCTGCCGGCCGGCGGAGTCCTCTCTCACACACACAGACACAATCCCGGTCTCGGCGCCGCGGGCGGGGGGTGCGGGGCTCCCCTGCCCCTACGGGGAGCGAGTGCCCTGCGGCCGCCGGGAGCCAGAGAAGTAACTGCTCGCACCGCCAGCTGCAGTGGGAGGCACTGAAAATGCCCCCGAGCGTGTTTCTACCTTGGTTGCTGTCGGTGGGGTCGTACCGCCCGTACCGACAGCCCCGCCGTACCCGGGGATCGGAGGGATCTGGGGGCATCCCCCGGTTGCAACGGGGCTGCTGAGGATGGACGTGGGGGGGTCCCGGCGGCTCCCCGCTACACCCCAGCAGCCCGGCGGCCCGCCCCTAGGACCGTGGGCTGCGGCAGCTGCCCTCCCTGCCTGCCTGCCTCCCGCCTTCCTTCCCTGTCAGGACGGCTCCTCGCCAGAGTGTGTGCGCCTCCCGAAGCGATAAACCTCCGCTTCGGCTGAGCGTGTTTTCATACCGGGAGCGGGTAGTTTGTTCCGTGGGCAGGCATGAGAGCTGGGGATAATTTCACTGTAAGTCAACTATTAAACATGCTTTATATATTTTCCCGGCAAAGCCCAAGGCCACAGAATCCGGCCTTCGGAAAAATATTATATACTGATGGACTTTCGGACTTACACACTTTGGGAATACAAGTAAGGGTTGTATTCCCCCTTTCCAAAGGGGCAGCAGTTACAGGACAGGCACCTCTGCCTCCCGACCCCATAAACATGCAAAGAGATAGATGTTTGAGGCAACATCGAAGTGATACTCTGTTTAAAATTAAAAGGAAGACTTTCTTACTCTAGGGAAACAATCCCAGGGATGAAGCACAACTCAACACCATGTTCAAACTGACAAACCCTCGTTTTCAAAAAATCTGTTTTGTTTCCATAGAGGGAGTGCTTTTGAGAAAACATACCTCAGACATGGCTTAGTAAGTCACAGGATTCACAACCAGCCAGGGCATTTGATGGTGCCTGTCAAAGAACCACTGAAGCGAGGTAACTGTCACCGGTGAGCCAGCAAACCTGTTACTCTCCCCTCCTCTCTGCATTAAGGTGGGGAGTGTTACTGGTATTTAAACGTGGTCATTGTTCCCATAAAAATATTTTCTGAAAATGAGTAACAATAATGAAGGAGAGCAAGCATGAGGCTGGATTTAGGCCCACAGCACGTAAGTGAGTGACAGATCATACATCTACATGCACATGTCGTCTATTATGAAAACACCTTTTAAGACATGTGATGACACCTAACTGCATAGTGCAACATATGCCGAAGTGCGGTGCAACTGATCAGATTGTAAAGCACTGTTTCTGTCATGTTTATTTTCCCAAATGCCAAAGGTGGTTATACCTTATTATAGATTGGCTGCTTGTCAAATTTCAGAGTTGTTTTGCCTGTAAGTCATTTCTATGTTTTCCAAACCCTTTAAAGGACTCAACCCACAAATGTGCATTGTTTAGTCCACAGATTTTAGAAACCCCCTTTTCCAGTTTAAAAAAAAAAAAGAAGAAAAAAAGTAAAGAGAAAGAAAAGCAGCCCCAGTTCAACCTAATAACTTGCATGCCACGTTTCAGCTTGGAACAGCTTTATCTGGCAGCGTTACACAACTCAGCTACAGTAGTTGCCCTGCACTGAGGGAGAGCACCCTGCCTTGGAGAAGCAGAGATTATATAATGGTGAGGAGCAGCCAGGGACGCGCAGCTAATGGACATGTTTAAATGGGAGCCAAAACAAAAGAACTGCCCGAGAACACTGAAATGTTTTCTTTTTCTTTCCTTGGTGTGTGAAAAAAAACCCAAACCCAGACTAAGAGCCAGGCTGGCACTCATCCTGTGAAAGGAAATGGATTTATTACCTGGGCTTTCGCATGAGGGTTTTTTTAAGTCCTGCACTCCTTGCTTTTTACTTTGTCAAAAGTAGAGATGTTATTCCCTGACCTCTACTGGTACATGCAGATGTTGAAAAAAAAACCACCAGCTTTCCTTTCTCAGATGCCAGCAGTGGAAACTGGAAAGAAAGCTACTGCTGGGGGATTTCAGCACTGGTGTGTTCCTAGTTCAGTCTGGCTTGTTCTGCAGGGTAAGGGCTGTATTGCCCTTTCTTCACCCTACGTGGCATTGCCATTGCTCACTGTGCCTTCTCAGGGGGTTCTGCTACATTTGTGCCCCACATCACTGGTGTTCTTGCAGCTCAAAACATAGCAGTGGATACAGAAAGCAGTTTTCAGTGAGGGGTGAGGGACATAGGGTAGAAAGTAATAAAACTAGAGCCTTCAAAATGCTGCACTTGCTTGGCAAGTGAAGCCCCATGACTCAGAATGCAACAGCCACTGCAGCAGGGGTTTTGACTATTGCATGCTATCAGCTGGGCCAAGGTCTGCTGAGGGTTGGAGGAGGGATGAAAGTTGATGAGACAATGCTGTGCACTTGCCTGTGATGAGTAACCCAGGCAGTCTGCTCTGACTTCAGCGTCACTGCCTGGGTGAGTGAGCCCTTTTGTAAGGCCCCGGTCCACCCATACGTGATCCTCTTCTTTCCTCATAGGATTTTTTCTCCCCATCAAGTATTTGGGGATTGAATCCTTTCATGTCAACCAATTTTAGAGTAAAAGCAACGAGGTGACACATATGCCAGGAGGGTCACATGAGCCATGTGCTCTAGCCGCTCTCTCCCAAGTACACCCCAACACCACTGACCACCCTTAGGACATGCTGCTGTGAACAAATCCACCCATTTGGTTGCTGAAGGGAGGCTTCCTCCTCCTAAAACATCTCAGCACAGCAGTGCCTCAGTACAAGAAATTTTACTGCATCTACAAATGACAGCGTTAAGTTTATCTCATCTCCCACAATGCCGAAATGCTGATGGATGCACCACAATTCATTTTCTACTCCCACGGCCCTCCTCCTACACTCCACCTTTTCATTTCACTACTCCTACTCCTGCTCCCGTTTTCCACTCCTCTACAATACAATATCTCCTATCATCCTTAGCATTGACTTGTATCTTCTTTTTTTTTTTCTCCAAATTAAAGACTTGAAGATTGCCTTTTATCATCACTGGAATAAAGCAGAGCCTTCTATTCATATTCTGGGTTTGAAGCAGCCAAAATAAAGGATCTGTACTGTCTTTTTACTACTGTCTGTATAATGCATTTTCTGAGGTTTTGATCAAATTCAGCTAGAGATTACATGAAGTTGAAAGCACTCATACTCTATGTACAGCTTTTTCTTACATGTATGTGCATGTTGAGGGAGTACAAACACTTTAACAGAACAAAAAGCAACCATAAAATGCCAGTTTGCACCTGGTATTATAAGAGCTGGGAGAATAAGGGCTTATTTTCTGAGGAAGGATGGGGGAGTTCAGCACCTCCAGTTTCCTCTCACGTCTCTCAGAAGTGACTGACCTTGGTTTGTAGTCCATGTTTCCAAGGAGCCTGGGTACCAGAAGGGTGGTGTGGCATCTCAGTCATCACCTCCCTGCTCAGGGTGAGTGAGGGCCTCCGCACACAGCAGGGTTTGGGCATGTCCTGGGTGGGCAGGGAATTCACAATGCCCCTCTAAGGGAGTTCAGAGTGTCTGAAGAGCTCCCAACTGCTCTGAGGCTTCCTACACACCCACTGGAGAAAGGCAGTCTCTGTACTGCTGTGAGTTACCTCCTAGGAGGGGGGATCACTCCCCACCAACCCCACAAACCACAGAGGGAATCTATGGACCTGGTAATCCCTCACCACAATTCAGTAGTGATAATGCCCCTGCTCCTTTTTCATCCTCGCCTTCATTTCCTGCCTTGCACAGCAGCACCCAAAGGCAGGTTGGGGTCCAGCTGGCCCAGGGAGAGGTGGGTGTCACACTTAGGGTCATTCAGTGGTCAGTGGAGAGAAACGCATGCCCCCCATGGGTGATTCACCACCCCAGATGGTGGAGCTGACCAGTCAAGGGGATGCCAGGCTCTTGCTGTGAGTAGTTCACATTCACTTCCAGCCAGCTACCTTCAGGCCTGCAGATTCCACCTATCTCATTTTATAGTGCATGGAAAATGTGCAATATCTGACTCCCTTGCCATCATACCCCCAAGATTTTGGGGCTCAAAAAGTGCCCAGTGACTCAGTGCAAGCCAAAAGTGGGGCAGAATGAATCTAATCTCAAGGGACCACTTACTCAAGCAAAACAAGCAGCACTCAGCCTGCCTGACACAAACTTTTACATTATTTCTTGTTATCCACTGAACACTAGCACCTACCACAGAAGAGCTGCAGCCCTCCTGAGCTGAACAGCAAGAAAATAGCTGTGCCACGCAGCATCAGGCTAACAGGCTAACTGAGCACTGTGGAGAGACAGCAAAAGAAAGGCAAAACAATTAGTTCTACTTTTCAGGGGACAAATTGGGCCACCATGAACCCACATAATGTGCAGAGGACCTCACGCAGGATACACAGGCAGAGACAGACTTTGAAGGTCTGCAAGACCCAGACCTTAGGTTTCAAGAACTTAATGTCACCAAAGAGCTGATAGGGTGCTTGCCGGTGAGGGGTTGAAGCTGCCTTGTCTCAGGTCCATCTCCTGCTACACAAAGGGGAAAATCCCAAATGGTCCCCATAGAAGCAGCAGGGCCCTT